CATAGACCAGCTGGACTGGAGGTCTGTGCTGGAGATTGAGGCAATGCTGCAGAGTGTGAACCCATTTGTGACACTGTTCAAGTCTACTGGGACCCACTTGAGGCAAAATGAGGAGTTCAACCTCAGGATCTTGGAGCATGTCAACACCCATGTTTGCAAATACAATTGACCCACTGCAGATGAAGTGGCTGCCTTGATTGTTGATGGTGGTGCCCAAGAAGAGGGAAGAGATCTGATTCTGAGGCACCAAGGAGGGGGCCTCTTCAGAATCTTTGAGACCTGGGCACAGTATGATCCCCTGCAGTACTGATTGTTATTTCCACATGGGGAACTGGGATGGTGCCCTGATGTCAAGTATGCAAATATAGTTGTGTGTTACAGAACTTCAAGTGCTACTGCACAAGAGTACTATGCATACAGGCTGATGACACATACATCAATTTCTCCCATCCTGAAACATGGGAGGCTGTTGCAGCAATATTTTTTAGATCAATATGCCAAAATTGAGTCTGCACAAGTGCAATTTGTTAGAACCAAGCAACAGTTGCACCAAGTGGAGGTGCTGGAGGGAATCCAGGAATTGATGTGGGATGATCACTCATTGGGCCAGGTTGGTAGAGTGATACTCCCAGCAAATTTCACATGCAGTGAGAGGTACATGAAGCAGCACTATTATGATGGCATGACCATTGTCCATAAGGTTGGCAAGCCTGATCTCTTCATATCAATCACTTGCAACCCAAAATGGACAGAGATTAAAGAGAATCTCTTGGCCAATCAGGCACCATCAGACCGTCCAGATTTAATTGCCTGTGTTTTCAACCTCAAGGTCAGAGCAATCATGGAAGACACAGGAAAAATGAGATACTGTCCATTCAAGGTTCAGACTCCCACTGAAGCTCACAGAAACTTCAACCTGTGCAGTTTCAAAGCAGTCCAATCTTGCAGAGTTGCTCTTGCAGACTGACCTCATTGTCTGGGATGAAGCACCTACGGCTCATCCATTTGCCCTAGAGGCCATTGACCGGATGCTACAGGACATCACAGGGGTTCAGCTTCCATTTGGCAGGAAAGTCATGTTGTTGACAGGAGACTTCTGCCAAATGCTCCCAGTTATTCCAAGGGGATCTGATGGCCAAATTGTGCCTACTTGCCTACAGCAATACAATCTTTGGCATCACTTCAAAATTCTCAAACTGGAGAGGAACTTGAGGCTACAAGCCTCTGAGGATCCTGTGGCCAATGCAGAAAATATCCAATTCTCAAGAGATCTGCTGGAAGTTGGTGTCCCAGAATCTGTCCGTAGACTTAAATCCTTGGGCAAAGCGAAGAATGGAAAAAGACGGGAATTAGAGTACACTAGGATTAATAATTATAGAAGTGAAACTAAACAGTAGTAGTTCGAATTTAGGAAAGATGAGCAGAAGGTTTCTAGAACAAAGGAAGGGAAACACAGCACTCAGCCGGGTTGCCGGCCTGCCCCCGTTTACTAGGGGCTGATCGATTGACAAACTGTATTTCACAGAAGAAGATGACACAAGTTTAAACAATTCCTTTTGAAAAGAAATCACTGAATTCAGCAGGTTCAAAGGCACAGGCACTTCTCAAAATTCTGACTCGAACGCTTCGAAATCTCGCACAGGAATGGGTACAGGCTTTTGGGTTTTCACCCCTTTTTATTAATTTTTAATTTGGCGCGTACTTTGTGTGGTCTTGCTTCTTTGATTTTCTCTTCCTCTTCTCTGATTGGCTTCTTGATGGCGCCATCCGGTTGCAACGGTTGCTTCTTGTTCTTAACGAATTTTTTCTCCAGTGATCCTTCTTCCTTTTTTGCGGCGATTTTTTATTCTTATTTAATTTTTTGTTTTTTGGATATTTTTCCAGGACAGTTGGTGAGGGTCAACATGAAGTCAATCCTGAGCTTGGAGCCAATTTCATGAAACTTCCAAGAGACTTCATCCTCAAGCCCAACAATGGCAAGACAGATGGTGATGCCATCATCAGGCATGTGCATGGCAACATCTCTGAGAACTGGAGGCTGACTATTTCCACTCCAGATCCATTCTTACACAATTATTGACTGATGCTAATGAAATTAACAGGCAATAAGTCATGGGCAAGTTGCCAGGAATTGCTCATGTATAGGTCCATTGATGGAGTGGAAGAAAAGGAGGGGTAGGATGGAACCTTGCATCAGCTTGAAATCCTGAATTCCATCAACCCTTCTGAGATGCCACCACACCTGCTGACTCTGCGGGTGGGGGCTCCAATCATGTTGATGAGGAACATCAATGGAGATCAGGGTTTATGCAATGGTACCCAGCTCCAAATTTGGCTATCACAAGGAATGAGGATGGGAATTTTGATGAGATCCAGCAGCTTTTGGATGCCAGATATGCGTCCAATGTTGAGGCATGCTGGAGGATCTTTGACTTCCCCATCCAAGACAGATCTCACACAATTGTGCACCTGCAAGTTCACCCTGAAAAGATGCAGTATGTGTCCTTCAGGCCAGATGAGAGCAGGGACAAAGTGCTTGAAAGAGGACAGCATACTATGCTCACAAGGTACTTTAAACTTTGTGCACAAGGGAATGAGGTGGCCAAGAGGATCCTGTTTCAGGGTGTTCCTCTTCACTTTGTTTGGACACAAGGAAAGCTTTGGAAACCAAAAGAGCAAGGAGGTGATAAGACCACAGATTGACCCAAACACAAAAAGCTATTTGGTGTTTTTCAGAATAGGCAATGCAATTCCTGAACTGTACTAAGCCTAATTTTCAATTGTTTGTCAAAATATGAAGAGATAATGTCCAAATTGGTTCATCATTTACTGATGAACTTTCTTTTTTTCTTACAAAAGCAATCAACTCGGATACGCTGCTATATTTCATGATGAATACAGTGATTTTGAACTAGCTTTTGACTTTGACCATCTGGAATATTCAAATGAAGGCTTATCTCGGCAAACATCTACGGGAGAAAAGGCTTATTCCCCCCCCCCCCC